GTACTTAAAGAGTTAAATGAGCTGACGGTGTGTGAATTTGTTTTAAATTAGGAATAATTTAAATATAGAATGTATTAAGCTGTTTAACAAGTTGTGACGTGGGCTGGAAATGTGACTTAGTAGTAGAGTGCTTGCCTAGCATGTATGAAGCCCTGGGTTCAATTCCTTAGTACCACATAAACAGAAAAGGCCAGAAATGGTGCTAATGTGGCTCAGGCGGTAGAGTGCTAGCCTTGAGCAAAAGAAGCTCAGGGACAGTGCCCAGGGCCTTGAGGTCAAGCCTCAGGACTGCCAAAAAATACAAACCCAAACTTGAGACTCTTCAAAAAAATAATCATGGTCAAGGAAATAGTAGCAGTATGTTATCTAGACTTGTTTGTGAAAAGTAGGAAATAGATAATAGGCCACAGAAAATAGTAATTTACTTGTGACTTAACATTTCTAGTATCCTTTTTCTCTTTAGGCCTTGTCAATGCTGCTAAATGGCACTCCATTTGCCTTTGTTATTGACCTTGCTGCACTTGCTTCACGTCGTGAATACCTCAAACTTGACAAATGGCTCACAGATAAAATAAGAGAGCATGGGGTAAGCATGATATGGTAGGGATGTGTGTATAGGGGTGTGTGTGTGTGTTTGAGTTTGAACTCAAGGCCTGGGAACTATTCCTTAAATTTTTGTTCAAGTCTTGTATTCTACCACTTGAGCCACACAGTTCAGCTTCTGCCTTTTTGCTGGTTAATTGAGGATAAGAGTCTATGGCTCAGGTTGGATTTGAACCTGCATCCTCAAATCTCAGCCTCTTGAGTAGCTAGGATTGTAAGTATGAGTTACCAGTGCCTGACAGAAAACAGAAGCATGATATATCCATTTAGTTCACATTCATTCATTCATTCATTTATGTGCTGGTCATGGAGTTGAACTCGACCTGGGTACTGTCCCTGAGCTTTTGAGCTCAAGGCTACCACTTGAGCCACCGATCCACTTCCTTTTTTTTTCCTTCCCAGTCCTAGGGCTTGGACTCAGGGCTTGGGCATTGTCCCTAAGCTTCTTTTTGCTCAAGGCTAGCAATCTACCACTTGAGTCACAGCACCACTTCCTGCTTTTTGTGTTTATGTGGTACTGAGGAATTGAACCCAGGGCTTCATGCAAGCTAGGCAACCACTCTACCACCAAGTCACATTCCCAGCCCCACTGATCTTTTATTCATTCACTAGTGTGTATACCAGAGGGTGGGGCTTGAACTCAGCGTCTGGACCCTCTCCCAGGTCTCGTGTTTTACTACTTGAACCACAGCTCCACTTCCCCCATGTTCAGGTGGTTAATTGGGGATATAGCTTTACGGAGTTTCCTGTCCTGGCTGGCTTCAAACCTTGACCCTTAGACCCCAGCCTACCTCCTGAGTAGGATTATAGACATGAGCTACTGCCTCCATGCTGTAAAATTTTGATAACTAAAGTGTGTAGGCGCGCGCCCCCCTGCCCCCCTGCCCCCCCCCCCCCCCCCCCCCCCCCCCCGTGCTAGGAATTAAACTTGGAGGCTACTGTATGCTGGGCAAGAATTCTACATCTGAGCCCTAAGAAAGTTTTTTTTGTTTTTTTGGTTGTGGGGCCTGAACTGTGGGCCTGGGCACTGTCCCTCAGCTCTTCAGCTCAAGGCTAGTGCTTTACCAATTGAGCCACAGCTCCACTTACAACTTTTTCTGCTTATGTGGTGACGAGGAATTGAACCCAGGGCCTCATGCATGCAAGGCAAGCACTTTACCACTGAGCTACCTTCCCAGCCCTTGTTTTTTTTGTCTTTGTTGGTCATGGGGCTTGAACTCCGGGCTTGGGTGCTGTCCCTGTGCTCTTCAGCTCAAGGTGAGTGCTCTACTGCTTGAGCCACAGTACCACATCTAGTTTTCTGGTGGTTTATTGGAGATAAGAGTCTCATGGACTTTCCTGTCCGGGCGGACTTTCCTGCCCAGGCTGGCTTTGGACATGTTCCTTGGATCTCAGCCTCCAGAGTAGCTAGGATTATAGGTGTGAGCTACGGGGTGCCTGGCAAGAAAAAGTTTTTGTTTGTTTGTTTCAGTACAGATCCTGGGGCTTGAGTGCAGGGTCTAGGCACTATACCTGAGTTCAAAGGCACTATATTCCTCTATCACTCAAACCACAGCTCCACTTCTAGCTAGGGCTGACTTCAAACCGAGATTCTCAGATCTTAGCCTCCTGAGTAGTAGATATGAATCACGGGCACATAGGAAGAAACAGTTTTTTTGTTTTGTTTTTTGTTGGTTGTGGGGCTTGAACTCTGGGCCTGCACGCTGTCCCTCAGCTCTTCAGCTCAAGGCTCTTCTGCTTGAGCCACAGTGCCACTTCCAGTTTTCTAGTGTTTTTTTTAAAATTGGATATAAGAGTCTCCCCAAGTTTTCCTGCCCAGGTTGGCTTTGAACCAGATCCTTAGATCTCAGCCTCCTGAGTAGCTAGGATATATAGGTGTGAGCCACTGGCACAGGCTAGAAACAACTTTTTAAGATGGGATTTAGATCAGATACTGAGCTCATACCTGTAATCCTAGCTACTCTGGAGGTTGAGATCTAAGGATCGTGGTTCTGGCTGTGGTTCTAAGCCATCACTGACAGGAAAGTCCCTGAGTCTCTTTTCTCTAGTTAACCACAGAAAACTGAAAGTGGCCCTGTGGCTCAAGTGGTAGAGTGCTAGCCTTGAGCACAGAGAAGCTCGGGAACAACACCCAGGCTCTGAATTCAAGCCCTCCAACACCCCCCTGTCCTCCTGCGCAAATGCGCCATTTAGAATGAATGTCGTTGATTTCTACTTTTTTGAGGGTGGTGGCAGTTGGTCATGGAGCTTGAACTCAGGGCCTAGGACTGTCCCTGAGCTTTTTGTACTCAAGGCTAGTACTCTACCACTTTGAGACACAGCTGTACTTCCAGTTTTCTGGTGGTTAATTGGAGCTAGAGTCTCATGGCCTTTCCTGCCCAGGCTGGCTTCAATCTATCCTCAAATCTCAGCCTCCTGAGCAGCTAGGATTACAGGGATGAGCCACTAGTTCCTGGCTTACATTTTTGTTTTAATGTTTAGTTGTTATCTTTAATCTGAAAACAGTATCAATTTTAGTATGCTGAAAACATTCCCCCCCCCCCCCCCTCCCCCAGGAACCTTTTATTCAAGCATGCATGACTTTCTTAAAGAGAAGATGTCCTTCTATTTTGGGTGGACTTGCCCCAGAGAAAGACCAGCCTAAGAGTGCTCAACTTCCTCCTGAAACTCTGGCGACAATGTTGGCTTGTCTACAGGCTTGTGCGGGGTAAGAAGAACATGCTAGGAAAATTGTCTTCTTGAATTTGATTATTTTGCTTGTAATTAATATTTTTTTGTGCGTCTGTATTCCTAAGGAACATTGCTGTTTTTGTGGAGTTTTTTTTTTTTTTTTTTTTTTTTTGGTATCTGTCTAGTTGTAATATTAGAGTACCATTGACTTCATATAAGCATTAAGTTTTGTGAAAAAAATTGATATTTTTCTTTGTACTTTTTAAAATGGCATACATAAGTCAAAGGGGGATTTCATTGTGACATTTCCACACATTTGCAATGTATTTCAATCAGTATCACCCTCTTTTATCACTGTCCTTTATCCCCTTCATAAAATAACTTCAAACAGGTTTCATTGTTGTATGAAACTATTTGCTTCACCATATTCTTTCACCCTCCTTCTTAGTATTAGCTCTATCACCTTCTGCGGCTAATAACTTCCAATAGATATTGTTTCTCTTCCATTCACTCTACCCTTACTGATTAGTAGTTTTCATTGAAGCTCTTTTATGGTTTTTTCCCCATACATATTTGAAATTATTTCAAAATTATTTCACCCACTTTTTCTAAGTAGTTCCTTAGTTTGACTCACATTCTATGTTTATCTCATCTCTAATTATATAATCAGGTATATATACATGTATGTTGCCATGAATTTGTATATCTTTTGAAGATCTACTTTTCATATGTAAGGAAAAATATACAATATCTTGTTAATTGACCTTGATTTGACTTGATATCCTCCATTTCCATCCATTTTAGTTCTGCCTCAGCTACCTAAGTATCTGGGATTATAGGCATCTACCATTGTGCCCCACTCTTAATTCTATTTTAAGACATTTTCTAGTTGATATTTATTGGGAAGGTGGGGGGTTGTCTGAGTCTCATTGGCTATCTTAGTATTTTAAGTGAGGAATTTTAACTCTGTCAAATTCTGGGTAGTTAACTATGTATATGACTTCTTTTTTGTGTGTGTGTGTTGGTTGTGGGACTTGAACTCTGGGCTTGGGCACTGTCCCTGCACTCTTCAGCTCAAGGCAGGCGCTCTATGTTTGACTCACAGCGCCACTTCCGATATCCTAGTGGTTTATTGGAGTTTCATGGACTTTCCTGGCCATGCTGGCTTTAAACTGTGATCCTTATATGTATTACTTGTACATGTATAAATTATGTTTTGAATTCAAGGTTTGTACTGCCAGGTATCTCTACCACTTGAACCATACCTCTAGCCTACTTTCTTCTTTCTCTTTATAGGAGTGTTTCTCAGGAGTTATCAGAGACCATCCTCACCATGGTAGCCAATTGTAGTAATGTTATGAATAAGGCCAGACAGCCACCACCTGGAGTTATGCCAAAAGGACGACCTCCTAGTGCTAGTAGCTTAGATGCCATTTCTCCTGTTCAGGTAAAAATGAATATTACCATTGGTATGTCTGCATTTGTTCATTGACTCAGAATAGACTAAGCTTCTGCATCATCTTTGATAAACTAAGCTTATTACATTTTAGATACCTGCATGTGTAGTATACACTTGTATTTTAAAGGCAATTCATCAGTTGGCATTATAGTTAAAAATAGAGTTTAATTATCAAAAAGAACATGAATCTTGAACAAAGATAGAAACCACTTATTTAGGTAAATGAAAAAGGTTTCTTTTTAAAATTAGAATTACACTCTTGAGAAATAAGCACTGCCTTTGAATCTGATGTGTCTTGTTTGTAGCTTCACGGGCCAAGCAACAGTACTAGAGCATAACGACTTGTTATAACTGGGGCTCTTCAGCTCTCAACTGAACTGCTCTTTTAAAAACAAGGTACATTTAAGTTACTCCCTGACACCGACCACCCCATTCTCTTTGGGAGCAACATACCCCACTTCTGTTACCCAGTGCACTAAAGGGCAGATTGGGGTATAAGGATTAGTGATTCTTCAGTGTCTATAAAAGGCATTTGCGTGCCATTTTCTATACTTATGAGCATATGAAATAGTGCCACAAACTAAGATGCTTGGAAATACATTTGATTGTTTAGAAATAATCTGGTAAATAACATACCTGTGTTTTAAGTTTGTTTTAAAAGTCAAAGCTGATCTTTAAACCCTGAAGGTTCTTAAATTCAGACTATATATGTTTTGACTGGAGGCTTTATTTGTAATTTTTAAAGTTTTTTTGAGAAATGACTTAGTTTAGAAGATTTTATTTTATTAGAAATTGCAATGAATCAGTGTAATATCTGCTCATGCCATTATGGTGACAGGGACATTACTATGCATAGATTTTGTTTTTGTTTTTGTTTTTTCCTTCATCTGTGGTTCTGATACTTTTTGACATGGGTTAATTCTTTTTTTTTGGGTCCGGTCATGAGGCCTGAACTCTGGGCCTGGGCGCTGTCCCTCAGCAATTCAGCTCAAGGCTAGCACTCTACCACTTGAGCCACAGCGCCACTTCCTGCTTTTTTCTTTTTGCTTATGTGGTGCTAAGGAATCAAACCCAGGGCCTCAGGCATGCAAGGCAAGTGCTCTACCACTGAGCCACCTTCCCAGCCCCACGTGGGTTAATTCTTAAACCTATATTTATATGTAACCTGAAAATGACTAGCAGACATGGTATTGGGAATTAAATATTTTGTTTGTTGAGGTTCCTTCTTAAGCATATGAAGAAATACTGCTAAAGATTTCTTTGAATTGTGTCATCTCTGACTTTCCTTGAAACATGTCTTAATATCTGTTTACAATGTTTTTCTTTAGATTGACCCCCTTGCTGGAATGGCATCTCTTAGTATAGGTGGTTCAGCTGCTCCTCACACCCAGAGCATGCAGGGCTTTCCTCCAAATTTGGGTTCTGCATTCAGTACCCCTCAATCACCAGCAAAAGCATTTCCACCTCTTTCAACCCCAAATCAAACAACTGCATTCAGTGGTATTGGAGGACTTTCATCACAGCTTCCAGGTAATGGGGAGCAATATGGCTTACTTGTAAATTTCATTGTTCTTTTTAGAGTGATTATGATAAAGGAAAGTTAAGTGAAAATGTGAAAGAGATAAAACTGTGCCATTGTTCAATTTAATTTAATAGAAACAGGATATTTAGGGGCTGAGAAGGTGGCTCAGTGGTAGAGCGCTTGCCTTGCATGCATGAGGCCCTGGGTTCGATTCCTCAGCACCACATAAGCAGAAAAAAAAGGCCGGAAGTGGTGCTATGGCTCAAGTGGTAGAGTGCTAGCCTTGAGCTGAAGAGCTGAGGGATAGCGCCCAGGCCCAGAGTTCAGATCCCACTACCAGATCTCCCCCCCCCCCCCCAAAAAAAAAAAAAAAAAAGAAACAGGATATTTAAACATTATAAAGATAGTTGAGTAGTTTAGTAAGGATTTTGTATTGTCAAATGATAGTGTTACCTGTTTATTGGTCACTTTTTTTTTTTTTTGTCGGTCGTGGGGCTTGAACTCTGGGCCTGGGCGCTGTCCCTCAGCTCTTCAGCTCAAGGCGAGCGCTCTACCACTTGAGCTCCAGCGCCACTTCCGGTTTTCTGGTGGTTTATTGGAGATAAGAGTCTCACGGTCTCTCCTGCCCGGGCTGGCTTTGAACCGCGATCCTCAGATCTCAGCCTCCTGAGTAGCTAGGATTACAGGCGTGAGCCACCAGCGCCCGGCTTATTGGTCACTTTTTTTTTTAACATTTCATGGTATTTTTGTAGATGGGGGATAAAGTCATGTTCTTGTGTTATATGCATGTGTTTGTTTCGCCATTGAGCTATAGACTCAAAGCTAATAATGTATTAGGCTTAGTTCAGTGTGTTTGTGTGTGTGTGTGTGTGTGTGTGTGTGTGTGTGTGTGTGTGTGTGTGTCTGTGTCTGTGTCTGTATCAGTACATAGATTGAAATCAGAGCTTTGTACTCTCAGTTCTCTTATTCATGCCTGGTGCTTTACCACTTGAGCTATAAATTTTGTTTTGACATTTTGCTGTTTAATTGGAGATGAAGTTTCTCAAAATATTTCTGCCCCATCTGCTTCCAGACTGGATCTTCCAGTTTCAGGCTCCTGAGTAGCTAACATTACAGGTGTGAGCCACCAGAAACAAGGAAGATCAGTTTAATGAGTCATTATGGGGATATAATTAAGCTTGAAAATACTATATATACCAAATTCAGGCATGGATGTTCTGCCTGTTTTTTGTTTTTCCCACATCAAAAATAATACTAAAGCCAGGTACTGGTGGCTCATGCCGGAAATCCTAGGTACTCAGGAGGCTGAGATCTGAGGATCACAGTTCTAAGCCAGCCCAGGAAGGAAAAGTTCATGAAACTTATCTCCAATAAACTACTCAGACAAAACTGTGGCTCAAGTGGCAGACTTGCAATCGTTGAGTAAAAACAAACACAGAAAGCTGGGAAGGTGGTTCAGTGGTAGAGTGTTTGCCTTGCATGCATGAGGCCCTGGGTTCGATTCCTCAGCATCACATAAGCAGAAAAAGCCGGAAGTGGCACTGTGGTTGTAGTGGTAGAGAGACAACGTTCAGGTCTTGAGTTTAATCATCAGGACCAGCCCCTCAAAAAGTTATTATATCCTTAAAACGTTTTCAGTGTCCTGTCCTCCCCAAATATTTCTTAGCTTGCGGCTTTATTGAAACAAGGGCTTATTTATTTATTTTTGTCCGTTGTGGGGCTTGAACTCTGGGTCTGGGCACTGTCCCTCATCTCTTCAGCTCAAGATGAGCTCTCTTATCACCACTGGGCCACTTCCGGTTTTCTGGTGGTTAATTGGAGCTAAGAATCTCACGGAGTTTCCTGCCTGACTTTGAACCTAGATCTTCAGGTCTCAGCCTCCTGAGGAGTATAAGCATGAGTCACCAGGGCCTGGTTAACAAGGGCTAATTTTAAGATTTATTTCTTTGTTTTTCTTAACCCATATTCATGTTGTAAGTTGGGGTATTAAATTGTATGACTGACTGTAGATAAGACTTGGTCATGTAGTTAATATTGCTCCAACATGATTCTAGACTTGATGCCACTCAAACCAAGGCTTCTCTATAGTTATTTAGTGTCCTGGGATAAATCTTACTACTGTGTAAGACTCTTTTTGGCCAGAGTTGAGAGGAACCATAGACTTACAATAAGTGTAAAATGTTAATAATGAAATAAAATTTTAGTCATTGTGATAAACAAGCCAGGGGCTTGTTTGTTTGTTTTTTTTTAAATTCCATATTCAAGACTATAAGAGCCCTAGATGATTAGCTCTAGTAATATAGCCCCTACCCAGCAGGTAAGGGCCCAAGTGAAATAATAAATTATTAATGCTGAGAAAATTTTGCTATTATCAATTTGCATCTACTCTAAATTTTTTAGCTTCTCTTGAAAATTGACTGGGTATCCATTGGCATTTAACAAAGAGACATTAACTATTAAGGGTATATCCTGGTGCCGTGAATGAAGTTAAGTATATAAGGAATGATGGAACTTCTGGCTACCTTTGTTCTCTCTAGTAGGTGGTCTTGGCACAGGCAGCTTGACTGGTATAGGAACTGGGGCTCTTGGACTTCCTACAGTGAATAATGATCCCTTCGTACAGAGAAAACTGGGCACCTCTGGACTCAACCAGCCTACATTCCAGCAGAGTAAGATGAAACCTTGTAAGTGGTAGTGTTGTCTGTGATTGTGACGTGTGACTGATACACATAAATTTTACTGAGTGTCTGATTTCTTTTGAGTTATATGGACAGAAGCATTAATTAAATTTAAGATATTATAAGGGTCAAATGTTGATGTGTATTCTACAATAGAAGGAATAAAATCATAATCTGAATTATTAAAATTAAGAACTATAGAGCTTTTAATCCACCTTTGCTCTGGATTGATACTCAACCATGTGATGGTTCGTAAGAGGTAACATCCAGAAAGTAGGAACTAGTGGGAAAACAAAAGTATTTTCAGTTTGTTAAATTTCTTGGTGTTGGCTCTTTTATTGTTTGCTCTTTATTTCAATTAAGTTTAGAAAGTAATATTTTTGTTATTGTTGTTGGTCGTGGGGCTTGAACTCAGGGCCTGGGGTCTGTCCCTCAGCACTTCAGCTCAAGGCTAACGCTCTACCACTTGAGCCATAGTGCCATTTCTGGCTTTTTCTGTGTATGTGATGCTGAGGAATAGAACCCAGGGCCTTATGCATGTGAACCAAGCACCCTACCACTGAGCCACCTTCCCAGCCCAGTAACACATTATTTAAAATTATAGTTATATAGTTTCATATTTCATAACTATTGCCGCGTGTTAAATGAAATAATTTGTGGCAACTTTTTAAAAGCTTCACCTCTTGTGTAATACTAACCAAAGTCAAATACATAGGCAATAATTAATGTGTATATCTTTTTATCCCAGGGACGGAATTTATTTATTTGTTTATTTATGCCATAGGGCTTCAACTCAGGGCCTGGACACTGTCCCTGAGCTTCTTTTGCTCAAAGCTATCACATATACCACTTGAGCCACAGTACCACTTCCAGCCTTTTCTGTTTATGTGGTACTGAGGAATCAAATCCAGAGTTTAATATATGCAAGGAAGGCACTCTACCACTAAGCTACCTTCCCAGCCCCGGACTGAGTATTTATCAAACGTGGTTTGAAAGTATTATCTGGCTGAAATTGACACAAGCCTGTAGTCCTAGTGATAGGTAGGATGATTTCAAGTCTTGGCGAGGCTGGGCTCCATAGGTGAGACCTTGTCTCTCAACTAACAAATCGAAAGGATTGAAAGTATACAAGCTGACTTGAAAATGTTAAGTGTGAGAGGCTTGTCTGAATGTTATGTTTTGTAGCATGCTTTGTGTTTCTATC